CATCTTGAACAGTGCCACACTGTACCAGGGGTCTACGTCACCTTTTTAATATAGTCCTTGCTGCTTATTTTAAGAGACACGTGTTTTTCTTTTCCTCTTCTCCCTCTCCCCCTCCCTAACCTGGGGGTGGGGTATAAGATCACCTTGAATTATCTGTCCTTGAGCATGTACCTGCCACAGGAAGGAGATGTCACCTGAAAATCTAGGAGGTGACTATCTCCCAAATGAATGAGTGAATTTCAACACACCATTAGGGAACACCTGGAATCCCCTCTCAGGGTAACCTGGATATAGCGTCTGAAGAGTTTCTTTAAAAGCCCTCTGTTGGGGCCAAGGCTGTGGCTCAGTGGTACAGTACTTGCCTAGCATGAGACTTGAGTTTGATCCCTGGAACCATATAAAAATAAAAACAAATAAAATAAAGGTATTGTGTCCATCTACAACTAAAAAAAAAAGGAATATTTAAAAAATAAAAGCCCTCTGTTTTCCCTGATGGGCAGAATCTTAGCCCGTTCTTCTCCTTTGCTAACAAAGCATTAAGTTTCTTTTTACTTTTTCTTAAAATCATGTCCTTATTATTGGATTGGCATCTGAGAAAAGGATGAGCTTTTGGTAACAAAATTGGCATGCCAGATAGGACCCTGCTCCAGCTTTCTTTTGGACAAGGCCTGGCACTCTAAGCAACCCACTTCCATGCTGAAGATGTAAGGTAAATTTGTTGAGAGCTGACTACCAGAGAGTTAGGGGATGGGCAAGTTTGAGTATGCCTCAGGTGGAAACAGAGGAGCCATTCCTGAGAGTAAAGGGAGGGACTGAGGTGGCTTAGGAACCAAATTCCTCAACAAGACTCCTAAAGCACCGAAGTAAAATCAAGAATCAATCAATAAATGGGATGGTCTCAAACTAAAAATCTTCTTCACAGCAAAGGACACAATCAAGAATGTGAAGAGCCTACAGAATGGATAAAATCTTTGCCATCTGTACCTCGGATAGAGCATTAATCTCCAGGATATAAAAACTCAGAAAACTTAACACCAAAAAAACAAATAACCCAATCAATAAATGGGCAAAGGAACTGAACAGGCACTTGGCAGAAGAAGAAATATGAACGGTTAACAAATATATGAAAAAAAAATCAATACCTCTATTAGTTAGCCTCACAGAGTTGCCTTCACATTTGAAAAAATCTTATTTGGGGTCCATTACACTCACTGTCTGATGATCAACTAGCTTTTCTCAGGGGGCTCGGGGTGAAAGCAGCCAGTCACAAAGAACATAGCAATGGGCTCCAGTGCTCTTAAATTATAACCTGGGACAAAATAGTCTCCCATTTTTAGATCTGACAGGATGCCCCATTTGACCAGGGGGCTCTTCTGGGTGAAACCCTGCCGCCTTTTGCCCACAGATCTAAAATACAAGGACCTCCCAGAGTCTCCATATATGGCCCTGATGATTTCTCTAGAGAGAGGTCCATAACAGTCTCCGTATGATCAATGTGACCTTCAAAATGTGTGTGTCTCTTTGTGTGTGTGGGTGTGGGTGTATGTGACATATGGAAATGGGGGGGGGGGGAATATCTCAGGGTATAATTGACAGTGCTTAAAGGTGATACATTATGATGGTGATGAGGGAGACTAGTCAATGATATCCTGTGCTCCAACCCCCAGAATTCAAACTAGGGGAAAAATAAGATAAAGTCACAGTTTTTTGTATATGCCAGATTGTCCTGATCCCTCTCCTAAGATAAAATTTGTTATGTAAATTCAATGTATAGATAACAGTCTCACTCCAAAGGCAACAACTTCATTTGTAAGTGCCTCCCAGGAAAAGAAAAAGGTCTATAGGTCTGCTAAAACTAAGTAAGCTCTTTTCGTCCTGAGAAAGGGACCCTGAGAAAGTTGATCAATGTTATCTGAACTAAGATTCTGTTTTAGGAGAAAATAACTTGCAGGGGTCAGGGGTCACCCCTTAAGAGAGAGGCATTAATGGGGATTCATTCTCTTCTGGACAAATTTTTAAAATGTGAATTGAGTCAGCTTTGCCTGATACCCTACAATAGGCCTATTCTGCCTGTTTAAAAACAAACAAAACCCTCATACTGATGAGAACCAATTTCTGCAAGTCTTGAGAGATAAAAAATATTTCAAGTGTAATGTTCATTGCTTTTAGAATTTTTCTTTGTCAGAGAAACTGATGACTTCCAATTTTAACCAGGCTTGACTTTCATGAATAACCTAAATATATGTGACTCAAAATATGTATGCGTCTGAAACTAAATAGGTTTGTGTGAGCCCTATCTGAATGTTCTGTAAGATTATAAATGAAAGTTCATGTAGGTTTAACCAACAAGTGCTCTATTTTTTACATTGCATCCGGCATAAAAGGGCCATACTGCCATTTGAAAAAATGGTTTATACATGTCTGCTTTGACTAAGTCTACATCTGATCATTAACACCATCTCTAAATGTATAAGAGGTTTAAGGCTATCCTTGATTTTTGCTAGTACTGCTAAACTCTGTATAAAGTGGCACCCCCTTTCTCAACAGAAAATCCCTCTTCACCATGGCTGATTTTAGGACTATCAGCAAAAGAGTCTCTGAGAAAGAGTCCAATGTAAATAAGCTTCCTATTTTCGTGTTGCCCTGTTTTACTTGGCCACTGGCCGGGAAGATACCAGCATTCCAGGTGCTGGACACCCCCTACTAGTTTTTCACAAACATATCCAGTATAGTACTTTGTTGAAATGCGCAAACAAGGCCTCTGGCCTTGAGCTGGACCTCACAGAGATGTCTACATTTTTAAGACAAATTACAAATGGGCCCATGGTAACAGCTGGCAGGGGGAGGAAAGAAAGGGGGAGATGAAGCTCTCCCCTTCTCAGGTGTTGTCCTTGAAGAGTTAACTTGCTCAGAACAGTGAAAGAAAAAGCTGCTTTTATGTGAACTTCTGCAGACTGTGAACTTCTGAGCCCCTCCCCTTACACGCTGGGTATAAAACTCTGAAACTCCCTGAACTCGGGGTTCAGGGGATTGATTGATTACAGCAAAGGCTGTACCCTCTGAACCTGCCTGCAGTCAAATAAAACTGTTTCCTGCTGTCTTCGGTGCCTTGCCTCGTTTGTCCCTACAACATGTAAACCTGTAATTATCCGTGGATTCTGAATTTTGCTATGAAAATTAAACCTAGTTAATGTAAGGACATTCGTGCAATTGTGACGCTATTACTTCTTCATGTATTAAATATATTCATGTCCTTCTAGTATCCAAGTTTTAAAATATAAAGCTTAGGAGAACACTTTACCAAGCTAGGATCCTCCTGTAATGCCAGATTCGTGGGACCCCAATAGACCTCCAGGAGCCGAATCCAATGCAATCACACAAGAGTCTTTATTGCAAGCTCGAGCCTGGACTCAACCATTTCTGGTGTAGCAGTCCCAGGGGGAGAGTCCAGGTCCTTTGTTCAGTGAGATTTTATAGGTTTTGGGGGATACTTTATACGTCACAACATCACACAGCAAATCATTCCATACCACAGGAAAATCAAATAACAAACTTTTAACATTCACTGGCAGGAACAAGTTGGGTAGGGGTGATTGGTTAGTACAAGAGGGGGATTCCTTTGAACTGATTGGTTTAAGCCATGAGGGGTGTACGTGCTAAACTACATGGTTTCCCAACATGTTATTAACCATCATAAACTAGTGGGGGGTCATCTGGAATCCCAAGTATTTTCCCTGTCTCATGATGATTGGTGATTGCTAGGGGGTTGTTATGGATCCTCACCTAGCCTAACTGAGTCAGGGACACCTGGCGCCACAGATCTCTCCTATTATTTGTAGACAAACAACTCATCAGGGTGGGTGTGTGCTTAGGAGTGCTCTGTGAGTTTGTCCAAGGACAAGGGTCACGCCCCCTTCCTTGGACAGGCTTTGCTCTGAGGTAGGTGCTGGTTTCTCAAAAATGGAGTCACATCAGTTCCTCCCTCCAAACTAAAGTTGTCTGCAATGGCAATTTTGGATTTATGGAAATAGCCAATTTAATTGGCTACTTATGTCATTTAATGTTCTATAACTGGATAAAAGTAACCTGTTATCAACAAGATGTATATAAAATTTTGTGTTACTTTTTACACTGGGGTGGAAAATTGAATGTATTTTTGAATGATGAGAGTCCAATCTGTTTAAAGGTTAACATTGCGAAAAATGAAAATATTTTGCCACTCTCCCACAAAAAGGGGTTAGAAGCTTGTTTGATTCATGTCTCAGATGTAATACTGTATTTTGTTAACAGACATTCATATAGACTCAGGAACCAATATGTGAGAACTTTGTAAAACGCTATTTAAGAAAGAAGCAAAGATCAGCTTCAGAAATAAAATAAACTTTATCTAAGGAATACAATAAACTTTATCTAAGATTTGTCAAGAACCCCACCTCACCATAGTTAGGACTCTGCTTCTCACCTTACTCCATGTTAGAATGGTTCCAAAATAGGCTAGACTTATATTCATTTAAAGTTATGTTCAAAGGATAATTTTTTATTGTAAAGACTACTGTGGTCTTGAAATAAACAGGGGCTATAATATATAATTAAGTGAGGTTTGGGATTATGAAAATTATGTTTCTTGGATCATAGCTATTATACAAACTGAATATGTTTTTGCTATTATGAATTTTATTTTCTATTTTTCTTATAAACTGTATAACTGTTACCTGTTGGTGTTTTGCAGAGGTACTCCTTTTTTTCAGGTATAAAGAATATTTTAATAATTAAATATTGAAATTGACTATCATACATATCCATCAATTCTTACATTTTATTGCCCATATCTCAGGAGATATTTAAAGTAAGATTAATTTGGTGAAGCATTCTCAGTAAATCTAGAACATATTTCATATCCAAATTTAGTCGGGCCCTTTAATAATATTCGCTGTTTTGTAGTATACATGAAATAAGTTAGTGCGATACATCACTGCGGTATCATTTAAGAGGTAAATATCTTATAGATTTGGATTTCTCATTCCAATTCCTTGGAATTCAATAATATAAGTGTCTTTAGAGTAATCTTAATCTTCTTATTTCTTCACAGTAAATTTAGCCTTTGCTAGTTGTTCAGCAAAATGTATAGCAGTTTGTGTATGGAGTGTAACTGGTCCTGTTTTTATTCTGGAAACTCCATTGGCTAATGCCATGAAAATAATCAGCTGGTCTTGCAGAAACTCATCCACAGTTCCACCAAGTCTAAGATTAGCTAACAGCATTTCAGCAGCATCAATTCCAACCTTGTCTGCATTTACACCTCGTTTCCCAAGCAATGATCCAGCAAACAGCCTGTGGATGTCTCAGCAATAATTATTATTCCATTTCCATTGCCAAATGCTTGGTCTTTGGGTTCCTGAACAGGCTGGATGTTAACATATAGATCTCTGATCTCCTTTCTGATGGATGCATCTCACAGCCACTGCCGCCATATCTTTTGCTACTTTAAATGGCAGAACACCAGCAACAAAAGCTCTTCCATATATCTTAGTCACAGAGCCACAATCAGTCAAATTTATTGGGTTCAACTGTGTAACTGGTGACATTCGAACAATCACTTCACCACCACCTTTAGGATAACAGCCCCTCATTTTGATGTCACAATTAAAATTAAAACCAAGTTTTTCAACAATTGGCTTGAAGGCCATCACTGTGTAAACGATCTGTGGTGCCATTTCAACATTAGTTCCAACTTTCAAACGAAGTTCTGATGGAGAAGCACAAACAGAACACATGGCATTGAAACCTGCATCAAGAGGCACACACTCCTTGCTGTCTTGGTATCTGCTGTGTGGATTCCACCTTTGATCTTCTCTGGTGTGAAGGTTACTTCAGTTGAACCAATTTCTGGCCCCTCCAGTTGCCCATCACACAAATCTCCAAACATTTCCCATCCAGATAAATGTTGAGGCCTTCAGGTCATAATACTCAGGCCCGGTGTGCTGCAGCCTGCCCGGATCTTCTGCACCTGCAAGTGGAGGCCCAGGACACAGCTGGGGTGGGGGGCGGTGGAGACCCTGAGGATCTGGCTGCCCCCTTCCATGATCCCACCATCCATCTCCACCTGCTGCCCCGACATGAGGGGCACCCTGGGGCCTAGCCTTTGTAGCAGAAAGAATAAATGCCACGCAGCTCTGAAACTTCTATCCAGGCCTGGGCTGCGGTGTCTTGCGCACAGGCAGAAGAAGCAAGAAGCAGAGCCTCCTGCGAACCCAATCTGCCTGAATAAAGGTACTCCTTCTAATAGAACAACCTGAGTTAATTGGAAATAATAAGTCATCATCTGTAAGACACACAGAATATAAGACTGACTTCCAGTGCTAATACTGACCCAAATTAAATGGAAGGAACTGTAAAATTAAAACCCATTACTCTCACTTTAAGACTGGTGAAACCGGCTTACACCAAAAACTTGGAGACTACAGTCAAGGGAAGTAAAAGGGTCAAGGAGAAAAACAGCCAATATTTGGCCCTTGCCCTCTAGGGTTAGCCAGGATCCAAGGAAAGACAGGAACCCTCTTTGTGTCCTACAAGTCTGGTGAGTCACCCAATCTGCCCATCAAGAAGATCAAGAGGACCCTAGAAAACAGGAAGCCAACCAGTGCACATTCTGCAAAGAGGAAAGTTACTGGAGATGGAAATGTCTATAATACTTCTAAGGGAAGCCACATGTAGTCAGCAAGATTCTGACCCATCCTAGCAGATGGCACAATTGGTAGAGGAAGACAAAAGAAGTCAAGAGGCTTCACACATGTTCCCAAGAGTGATCTCTAAGGAATCTCAGCTGACTCTTAATAGTAGATAGAAACAAGGTCAGTCAAAACTGAGCCATAGCCAAAGCAGAGCCATACATGAACATTTAGAAAAAAAGAAAAAAATTTTAAATGCAACTAAAGATGTACACTTGTATCAGCCCTACCAAAAATAAGTAAAGCTGGAGACTACAAAGAAGAGTTCTTATGTGAGAGTACCTAATAATAACCGTCATCAAAGGACTCCAGAGTCACAGGTTTGTCCTGAGTCAATTTGAGCCTGATCTCACAGACCTACAAATCTTCCTAATACCCTAACACAGAGAAACTCAATCTGTTTTTCACTGTAATAATAATGAGCTACTATGTTCATCAACTCTAGCAATTAGAGAAATGCAAATCAAAACTGGTCTAATATTTCATCTCACTCCAACCAGAATGGCAATTATCAAGAATACAAGCAATAATAAATAAGTGTTGGCAAGGATGTGGAGGAAAAGATACACTCATTCATTGCTGGTGGGACTTCAAATTGGTGCAAACACTCTGGAAAGTAATATGGAGATAACTCAGAAAACTTGAAAAGGAACTCTCCCACTCCTTGGTTTATACCCAAAGGACTTAAAATCAGCATACTACAGTGACACAGTTACATCAAGGTTTATAGCAGCAATTCACAATAGCTAAAATATGGAACCAAACTAGATGCCCTTCAAAAGATGAATGGATAAAGAAAATGTGGTATGTATATATATTTTTTCTCAGTAAAATATTTATATGGATAATTAGCTCACATGATAATATTTTAAATATATTGGATTGAATAAAATACATTACTACTAAACTTGATTTCGCCTTTCTTGGTGTTGCTACTAGAAAATTTAAAATGACCTCTATGGCTGGCATTATGGTTCTCTTGGCCAGTGCTGTTGCAGTGGGGAGTGAATTTCAATAGGGATTTTTTAAAATTTGTTTTAATTAGTTATACATGACAATAGAATGCATTTATGCACTTTGATATATCTTACATAGATGGGGTATAATTTCTCATTTTTCTGAGTGTACATGTTGCAGAATCATATTGGTCATGTAGTCACAGATATACATACAATAATCATGTCTATTTCATTCTACTATCTCTCCTATCCCCACATCCCCTACCCTACCCTTCCATCACTTCCATCTACCTAATCTAAGGTAATGCTATTCTTCCCTAGTGCCCCCGCCTTATTGTGAATTAGCATCCGCATATTAGAGAAAACATTCGGCCTTTGGTTTTGTGGGATTGGTTTATTTCGCTTAGCATGATATTCTCCAACATTTACTAGAAAATGCCATAATTTCACTCTTCTTTAAAGCTGAGTAATATTCCATTGAGTATATATACCACATTTTTCTTTATCCATTCATATATTGAGGGACACCTGGGTTGATTTCATAGTTTAGCTATTGTGAATTGAGCTGCTATAAACATTGATGTGGCTGCATCACTATAGTATGCTTATTTTAAGTCCTTTGGGTATAAACCAAGGAGTGGAATAGCTGGGTCAAATAATGGTTCCATTCCCAATTTTCTGAGGAATCTCCATACTGCTTTCCATATTGGTTGCACCAATTTGCAGTCCCACCAGCAATGTATGAGTTTACCTTTTTTACCACATCCTCACCAACATTTATTGTTGCCTGTATTCTTGATAATTGCCATTCTGAAAGAAGTGAGATGAAATCTTAGAGTAGTTTTGATTTGCATTTCTCTAATTGCTAGAGATCTTGAACACTTTTTCATATATTTGTTGATTAACATTAGCCCATGACCCGCGCCAGCTTCATGAAAGAAGGTTCGAGAAACCACTAAGGAGTTTTGAATTAAAGAGACAAGACTCTAATTACTTTTAAACCAGCTCCAGGACGGCTCCTCCTAGCTCCAGCCTCCAGCCACCTATTGTTATAGCGAGGTTTACTGAAGAGGCTAGCGAAAGAGAGAGAACCCACCAGGGAGTGGACTTTTATTGGGGAACAAAAAATTCTGGGGAAAATCCCATCCAATGAAGATTAAGGGGGACAGCATCCCAAGGTCAGAGGCAATGATTGGGTCTTTGGGATAGTGGCCAGACATGCCTCTGGACGGACAAGCCCTCGGACCTGGAGAAGGGTGGGGAAAGCTCTGACACAGCTGTGCCTAAGCACCTCTCGCCCAGCCAGGGAGGTAACTCAAATCATGTGCAAGGATGGCCTCCCACAATCAACTATATTTCTTCTTTTGTGAAGTGTTTGTTTAGTTCCATCGCCCATTTATCAATTGGGTTATTTATTTTTTGGTTTTGGGGTGTTCCTTCTTTTACAATGTTGAGGTATGTTCCTACTATCCCTAGTTTTACTAGTGTTTTGAACATGAAGGTGTGTTCTTCTTTACCTATCTGTAACTCTTCAAAGTTTTTTGAGTTCTTAATATCTTAATATATCCTAGAGATTAATGCTTTATTGGAGGTGCATGTGGTAAAGATTTTCTCCCAATCTTTAGGCTCTCTTCTCATGTTATTAACTGTTTCCTTTGATGAGAATAAGCTTTTTAATTTGAATCCACCCCATTTATTGATTCTTGATTTTACTTCTTGCGCTTTAGAAGTCTTGTTAAGGAAGTCAGATCCTAGGCCAATGTGGTGAAGATTTGGGCCTATTTTTACTTCTAGTAGGTACAGGGTCTCTGTTCTAGTGCCTAAGTCTTTGATCCACTTTGAGTCTATTTTTGTGCAGAGAGGTAGAGGTTTAATTTCAGTTTGCTACATATGAATTTCCAGTTTTTCCAGCACCATTTGTTGAATAGGCTATCTTTTCTCCACTGAATGTTATTGGCACCCTTGTCTAGTATGAGATAACTGTATTTATGTGGGTTTATCTCTGTGTCCTCTATTCTGTATCATTGATCTACAAGTCTATTTTGGTGCCAACACCATGCCATTTTTTGTTACTATAGCCCTGTAGTATAGTCTAAGGTCTGGTATTTTGATGCCTCCTGTTTCACTTTTCTTGCTAAGGATGCTTTAGCTATTCTGGGTTTCTTATTTTTCCAAGTAGATTTCATGGTTGCTTTTTCTATTTCTATGAAGAATGTCATTGGGATTTTAATAGGAATTGCATTAAATCTGTATAACACTTTTGGTAGTATGGCCATTTTGACAATATTAATTCTGCCTATCCAGGAGTCTAGAAGATCTTTCCATCTTCTGAGGTTTTCTTCAATTTCTTTCATTAGTGTTCCGTAGTTTTTATTGTAGAGGTCTTTCACCTCTTTTGTTAGATTGAATCCCAGGTATTTTATTTTTCTGAGGCTATTGTGAATGGAGTAGTTTTCCTAATTTCTCTTTCAGTGGATTTATCTCTGATGTATAGGAATGTGTTTTATTTATGGGTGTTGATTTTATATCCAGCTACTTTGCTGAATTAATTTATTAGTTCTAGAAACTTTTTTGGATCTTCTAGATATACAATCATATCATCAGAATCATATCATCAGCAAATAGTGATAATTTGAGTTCTTCTTTACCTATATGTATCTCTTTAATTTCCTTCTTTTGTCTAATTGCTCTGGCTAGAGTTTCAAGGATGATGTTGAATAGAAGTGGTAAAAGAGGACATCCTTGTCTTGTTTGTTTTTAGTGAGAATTCCTTCAATTTTTCTCCATTTAGAATGATGCTGGCCTTGGATTTAGCATATATAGCTTTTACAATGTTGAGGTAGGTTCCTACTATCCCAAGTTTTTCCAGTGTTTTGAACATGAAGATGTGCTGTATTTTGTCAAATGCTTTTTCTGTATCTATTGAGATGATCATATGATTCTTGTTTTTAAGTCTATTAATATGATGAATTACATTTGTTGATCTGTATATTGAATCAACCCTGCATCCCTGGGATGAATTCCACTTGATTGTGGTACACTATCTTTTTAATGTGTTTTTGTATGCAATTTGCCATAATTTTATTGAGAATTTTTGCATCTATGTTAAATCAGGGATATTGGTCTGAAGTTTTATTTCCTTGATGTGACTCTGTTTGGTTCTGGTATCAGGGTGATATTACCCTCATAGAAATGAGTTTGGAAGAATTCCTCCTTTTCTATTTCATGGAATACTTTGAGGAGTATTGGTGTTAATTCTTCTTTGAAAGTCTTGTAGAACTTGGCTGAGAATCACCTGGTCCTGGGCATTTCTTTATTGGTAGGTTTTTGATGGCATTTTCTATTACATTACTTGAAATTGATTTGTTTAAAGTTTGAGTAGGTCATGTGACTCTAGAAATTTGTTGATGTCTTTGATATTTTCTATTTTA